GAGAAGGATACAGATCCGTACTGCTGAGGAAGGTTTTCTTTGACGATGAGCTCTCTTGCCCTATGTTGTACAGATTCTCTACTGTCTGCAGTTCCTTCTCCTACACCTGGTTTGTAATGCTCTGTAGATGAACGGACAGCTCTTCCTGCTGGCCTCCTAGGTCTCTGGTAATTTTCATTGCTTTCATTGCTCGTGTATGGAGTTTCTTCGTAGGCATACTCTGGCCTTTTCATTCCGGATGATCGAGGAGGCACTGGATTTCTTTCATAGGGCACTTCGCTTCGTGGTGGGGCATTTTCTTGAGAATAACCCCCGTAATTAGGATTTCGCCTTCCTTTTGCTTGTCTAGATGGAGGTGCTTCTTGTTGATATTGAGGGGTGTCACGGTATTGTCGAGGAGAATTGTAACTTCCGGAATTCTGGGGCCTGTTTCCTCCTTGATGATGCGATGGAGGCTCATTCGAATAAGGTTGCTCGTTTCTGGTTCTGTATGGACCAGATGGTTCTTCAGCCTCTTCATTTGAGTGATATTTTGGTGGAGGACTGTGCTGTCTTACAGGATCAGGTTGGCTATATTCATCCTTGTAATATCTCGTATTCTGAGGTTCTTTAGGTTTCCTGTAGCTACCACGTTCGTGATGGGCTGGTGCTGGTTGCTCAGAGTAATGAGGGCTTTGCTTTGGAGCTCCTGCAGATTGGGAGTTAGAGTGACTTGAAGAGGAATGTCTAGTTGGGGCTTGAGGTGGATAGCTTTGGTGGTGATATTGTGCGGGGGGTTCGTCCTCGTGAGAGCTTTGATATGAAGGTGGCTCATCTGAGTAAGAAGCTGAATCATGACTCGGTCGTTGCTTGTTCTTGTTTCTCGATCCCTGTTCTCGCGGTCTACTGCTGAAACTTTCTTGTGCCGGTTTCCTGTTGTTGAATACAAAAACTTTTCCACCTTTGTTCTTGGGATTGACAGTACGAGAGGAGGATGTGCTCTTTGACGTCGTGTAAGAATCCATTGATTTCGATTTGGAACGTGTATCTGAGTCATGCTCGGATGTGAAGCTTTTAGATTTTGAAGGATAGGTTTCACTATACCCCGGAGCTGATTGAGAGGAATGAGAGGGAGAATCTTCATAACTATCTTCATCACGGTATCTCTCGGGATTTCTGTACTCAGCAGGAGGAGGGGCTGACCTGCCTTCATTGTAAGGAACTCTTCCGTTTGAAACATATCGTTCTTCGCTGGCAGAAGGAGTATGAGCGTGCTTTTTACAATCGCTTCCTTTGTGACTACTATAAGGTGGCTCATACCTTCTTGAAACAGGAACACCCCCTTCACTAGGAACGGCATTTCTTTGCAGAACTCCAGCTTGCTGACCTGGAACTTTTTCGTAAGCTTGCGCAGAGCGATCACCTGCCAATTGCACGGGGATTGGAATTCTACCATTTTGGGTGAGGGATAAAATAATATCTTCCCCTGCGTATACATGGCCAGCAGGAGCGTTGTAACCTGCGATTATGGAAGCATCTTCAGGAATGCGATGGTTCCGGTACTCTGGTGTGGAGGCCAATGGATTGTGCACTGTGCTGGATGTCTCTAATTGATCTTTGTCAGAGGTACGCATCAGATCTCCAATGTAAAATTCAGAAACCTTGGAAGCTTTGGCAATCGGTTTAGGCCCTATTTTTGATTCTAGATTTGTAGAGGGCTGGGCTTCTATGTCGGCAGTGACTTCTTTCTCTTTAATTTTAGAAGACTCGCCTTTCTCGGCGTCCTGAGCGGAAACGCTGATCAGGCAAAACAGGAGGAAACTCCCCGTTTTCAATAAAATCATGTTCTGAAAGAAAGAAAGAAAATTTGTAACAGGAAATTACGATCAAAAAATTCGATTATTTTACTAGGAAGTTGTGTAGGACTCATTATAGACACAAAAAGTAAAGGAAATTCAAAGAAGAAGGTAATTTTGAGTTGCAGCAGCAGCGGAAGAGAGTGGCATGGTCATGAAGAAGGACAATTTCTTCAGAAAACATTCTTCGCGTTCTCTTTTAGATGGCTCTCCTTTGTACTCTTAAAGTCTCACAATAACGTTTAGCATAGGATACAGTCGACTCTCGTTAATTCGAAGTTGGAGGCACCAATGAAAAACTTCGAATTATAAAGAGTTCGAATTAACAATAGGGTAGAAAAAATTCCCAAAATACACGAGGAAAAATTTTTTCTAACATATTTAAATTTGAAACTATGTAATAAAACAACAATTGTGTACATATGTATAAAATTACTAAAAAGTATTTTTAAAAAGTACATATTATACAGTATAAATATTTTACAGGGGTTAAAAGTCCTGCATTAAAAGTATACTTTCAATACTTTCATACACAATTCTATGCATCTCTTCTTTCACAATAGCGGACCATTCTTTCTGATCACATGTGTAGCAAGGCCACGTGTTAAACGAAAGATATGGATGTCTGACAACAGGTGAGGTTAGTCTATTGTCCACTTAACGGAATGAAAGCAATTAAAGTGTCTTTTCGCCTGAGGAATCGGAAAACACTAAGAAGGGGTAGCAGACAGATGGATCATCAATAGGACTACGTTACAGGGGAGACACGCAGAGACAATACATCACAAAACTTGTGATCTCCAACCTGTTTATTACAGGACTGCAGATGACAGTGAGTGTTCGAATTGTCGAGAGTTTCAAAAGATAACATCGAATTTTGCGTGTTGTAGTCAGGCGAGCCACAGATTTTACTTCGAAATATTGAGTGTACCCAAACGTATTGTTTTAGCTCGAAATATCAAGAGTTTTTCTAGGGACTGAGCATATACTTCGAATTAGCGAGAGGTTCGTATTATCGAAAGTTTGAATTGACGAGAGATGACTGTATATATAAATCTATATATATATATATATATATATATACTCATGTCCATAAATTAAGGATAATTCAGAATCACACAGAAATTGAACTCTAAAATAAAAATTTCACCTGCAGAATTATCACACACATCTTGAAGAAGAATATGCAAGTTACAGGAAACCACCAGATGGCGCGGATAGCACGTCACAATGACGAGAGTGTAAGAGAGGGGTATATAAGGAATGGGTGGCAAAGAAGTAAAATTGTTCAGAAGCGCTTTAAAAGCCTTTCAGTGCAATAACCGCATAGTTATGGCACAAAGGAAGCATTTGGAGGATTTTTTACGTGGTAGAATTATCGGACGACTGGAATGTGAACGTACCCATCGGGAAGTATCCGTGGAACTTGGAATCACCCACAGTGTCATCTCCAGGCTTTAGCAACGATTCCAAGATGATGGTAATGTGAGTAGATGTTACAGCACAGGTCGCACCTGAGTTACAACGCCGAATGAGGACCGGTATTTGGCAGTTACTGCCAAAAGAAACAGACGGAGCACAGCATCAGACCTATCTCGTCAGCTCTCTTTAGCTACCGGTACGACAGTTTCAAGGCAGACCTTGTACAGACGCTTAGGGCACATTGGTCTATATGCTCGTAGGCCTGTCAGTTGTGTTCCCCTTACCGCAACTCACTGTAGCCGGCGATTAACCTGGAGTAGAGAGCATGCATTGTGGACACCACAACAGTGGTCTTGTGTGATGTTTTCCGACGAGTCCAGGTTTAGTTTGCAGTCTGATTCTCGCCGGACTTTCATATGGAGAGCGCCAGGTACCCGTTACCACCAAGAGAACACCATTGAATGACACCGTTACGGTGGTGCAGGATGGCTCGTTTGGGGAGGAATTATTCTTGGTTCCAGAACTGACCTGCATGTTCAGAGTGTAACGATGACAGGCCACATCTATCGGGATGTCATTCTGGAACAACATGTACGTTTGTTTCGGGGCGCCATGGGTGCTGAATTTCTGTTTATGGATGACAACGCCCGTCCTCACCGTGCAAACATTGTAGACGAATGCCTTCAATCGGAGGATATCACCCGTATGGATTGGCCAGCATACTCACCGGACTTGAAAACAATAGAGAATGTGTGGGATATGCTTGGCCGACGAATTGCAGCCCGTCAACCCCCTCCCACCTGTCTACCGGAACTTCGGAGGGCATTGCTTAATGAGTGGTGTAATATTCCCTAAGATCAGATTGATAATTTGATACTCAGCATGCGTAGGCGTTGTAAGGCCTGTATTGCATCGTCCGGGAGTCATACTTTGTATTAACCATCATACTAACCATGTTATACTGTTTTTGTAAATAGGTTCTTTTTTGAAATTTGCTCCAGGGAGTAAAAATCGCAATTTTTATTAATTATGTCAAACATATAGCATCTTTTTTGCTCTTTACCTTTTGTTTAATAAATAGACTTTACAAATAAGTCAAATTTTGTTTTGCTTCTGTCTCTTTCTTTGCCTGAACTTCATTATGCTTAATTTATGGACATGAGTGTATATATATATATCTTGTTCAAATTTTCAATCGCTAATAAAATACTTTTAATTTATCTACTCAAGTTCCAATACATTTTTTAAAACTTGTAGTGGATGACACTTGATTTTAATACAGTACAGTCGCCCACTCGGTATAGTGGTTAGCGACGCTCACTGCTGTGCCGTAGGGCCTGGGTTCGAATCCCAGAGAAAGTATGGATGTTTGTAAATGTATAGTGCCTTCGTGGCAGGGGGGTACTCTAAATAGCCGTCGAGCCACAAGTCCTCTCGTGAGGTTGGTGGAAGGGGAAGAGAGGTGGGAAGCCCCTGCCCACTCTCCCCTGCACTCCCAGGGTGTTCTCTCTCAAAATTGGGTGGAACTGAGCCGAATCGTACTGTCACCTGCATGGTGCTCAAAAAGCTACGGCTAACGACAGGCGTACAATATAGCCCGATGCCAAGATGAATTTCGTGGGCCTCGATCTCACTACGTCAGACAGGTGGCATTAGCAGCAACAACAGCAACAGTTTTTTTCCAAATATTAATTCATTAATTAAATATAATTAATTAATTATTAGGATTAGGACGCTCATCGCGTCCCTGTAGCGCAATGGATAGCGTTTTGAACTTCTAATGCAAACGTCGTGGGTTCGAAACATACCTGGGATGGCCTAATTTCTGAGAATGTGCTTTCTTTTTACTATACTATTTTATTGGAATAATTAAATTTACTGAATGAATAAATAGTAACAAACAAAAATAACAGTCCAACAACACATATAGAAAGAAAAATGGAAAATTGTGCAAGGAAAATCACTTTTCTATTTTGCCACTTAATATTGTGATTCTGTCCTATGTGTATCATATTTATATTAATTATAATTATTTAACAAAAAATTAATTAAAAAAAAAAATTTCTTTCTAGACTTAAGTAGGAATAGACTTAAAATGTTTTTTTTTATATTACTTGTTTAAAAGAAATTCGTTGTTAGTGTTAAGTACTGCTACAATTACTATCCTTTCTCTGATATCTTAAGCAACATTTGGATTTATACCATTTAAAGAAAAAACCTCTAAAAACACTTTCCTGCAAATACTTAAAAACACCGATCAGGAAATTTATTTTAGTATTAGAATTAAACTCTTTCTTACACATTTGAGGAAATGCAGAGATGATTTGGTTCAGTAGTTTTATTCTCCCTTGCTTGCAAGTGGACGGATCATTGAGAGTTGCAATGATTTCATGCTTCGATA